AGAGAAGAAGAAGAAGAAGAAGAAGAACAACAACAACAACAACAACAACAATAGTAATAATAATTTACAACAGCAACAACAATAATGAGCAAGAAAGAAAACGCGACAATACTGGAGGGGGGACTAATGTAAAAACCACCGAGGGTCCCTGAGATCGCAGCGATTGTCCGTGTTAACATTCGCCAAGTGTGAAACCCCGACCACGTCTCTTCTTGTTTTTTGTTTTTTTTTTACCTTATCTTCGCTGTCTTATCACCTCCACGTCCCATAAATCGCACTGTGAATTATACACCTTGTATTTATCAATGTATTTATTCATTTACAATTTGATAACCCGCTCTCGGACGCTAACACCCCCCCCCCTACCCTTCCCCCCCAATCCCCCCCTCCCCCCCCACCCCTCCCAACCTCCCCTTCATTTAAATACATGATGTATGAATCTTGTCTGGCGAGCCCTTAAATGACTATCGAGGGGATATCGGGGCTTCACATATTTTGATTTTGATAATTCCATCTGGCCAAACATAGCTGCTTTCTCATTAGGATCTCGGACCGGCGGTTACGTATCTGGGGCGGCGTTGAGGTCTGTGTTAATCTCGCTCGCTCGGTTCGACGACGCGGTGCGAATGCCGACGGGCGGGTCGAGGCGAGCTTCGACACACACACACACACACACACACACACACACACACACACACACACACACACACACACACACACACACACACACACACACACACACACACACACACACACACAAGGGCGCTGGTTTGGTTCGCGTGGGCGTGGATGTAGGTATATTTTCGTAAAAAAACGTAGAGAAGGATAAACTTAAACATTTAAGATAGATACAGATACACACGCACACACGGCACACACACACACACATCCAAACCCCCCTCCCCACACCCACTTACACAATATATACATACATACATACACAATACACAATAACCACATCCAACATCCCCCCACACACAATCCAACCCCCTACCCTACCCCACACCACCTCCAACCCCCCTCCCCCTCACACCCACTCCTATGATCGGATTAAAGCTCTTATTCCCTATGCATCATATCATTCAAGATATATATAATTCCCATGATAATACAAAGTCAATCTTGATTCGCCTTAAAGTCAACGAACACTCATCCGTCTTCGTTATATCCAGTTTGCGCAGCGGCGAACGGAGAATTCTCGAACCCGAACTACAGCTGGAGAAAATGGAAGCTAATAATAAATATGTGGTTAAATACGGGCACATGCGCATAAATAAAGCGTAAACGAGGTAATAAATAAGATAAGTAGACATGCAAAAATATCGTAAAATTGTTTCAAGTTTGAAGGTTTCCAATTTCTTTCCGTTCAATATAAATAACTTGCTATTTTTCTCTCTCCATTCTTCGTACGTAAATCACCCCTCCTCGCCCTCTCTCTCTCTTTCTCCTCTCCCTCTCTCTCTCTCTCCTCTCTCTCCCTCCCTCCCTCTCTTCCTCTCTTCTCTCCTCCCTCCGTCTCTTCCTCCTCTCTCCCTCCCTCCCTCCCTCTTCCTCTCTCCTCCCTCCCTCCTATCTCTCCTCTCTCTCTCTCTCTCTCTCCTCTCTCTCTCTCTCTCTCCTCCTCCCTCCCTCCCTCTCTTCCTCTCTCTCTCTCTCTCCCTCTCCCTCTCCCTCTTTTTCCCACGCTAACACATGCTACCTATATGTTCCCACCTATATAATGGTTCATGTGTCTGCCACACTTCCGCCCTCAATTTAGCTCATGTAAGATTTTTATGACTTTATCATGATTTTATAATTATTTTTATTATATTATTATCATATGTATTATACTAATTTATTATCAACATCATTAGAGAAGAGGAAGAGAAGAAGAGAGAGAGAGAGAGAAGAGAAGAGAAGAGAAGAGAGAAGAAAGAAGAGAAGAGAGTGAGAGAAGAGAGAGGAAAGAGAGAGGAGAGGAGAGAAGAGAGAGGAGAGGAGAGGAGAGAAGAGAAGAGAAGAGAAGAGAAGAGAAAGAGAAGAGAAGAGAAGAGAAGAAGAGAAGAGAGAGAAGAGAAAAAGAGAGAAGAAAAGAAGAAGAGAAGAAGAGAGAGAAAAAGGAAAGAAAAGGAGAAAAAAAAAAAGAACAAGAAAACAAAAAACAAGAAAAGACAATAAGAAAAAAGAACAAAGAAGATAAAAAAGGAAACGAAGAATATACGCACAAGAAGACGAAAATGACTTATGTGCATAAGGCCGTGAGAACAAGGTCGCCTGATACACAGATTTAGGGGCGGGGAGGGAGGAGAGGGAGTGGGAGGGGGAGAATGAGAGAGAGACAGGGAGAGGGGTGGAAAAAGGGGGAAGGGGGATGGGGGAGGGGGTGAATGGAGGAGACAGAGGAAAGGGGGAAAGGGAAGGGGGGGAATGGGGAGGGAAGAGGGGAGGGGAAGAAAGGGGAGCAGAGGGGGGAAAAAAGGAAGAGGGGGGGGGAGGGGAAGAAAGACAAGGGGGGGGAAGGAAGCAGGGAAGGGGAAAGCGAGGAGGGGAAAGAATGGGAAGGGGGGGGGAGGAACCCGAGGAAGGGCAAGAGAACGAAATAAAGGCTCAAGAACAAATAGCGGAAGCATAAGACAAAACTTCCCCCCCCCTTACCACCCCCACCCCTTTCCCCCCTCCCCCCCCACCGCCCACCACCCCACCCCCCCCACCCCACCCCTCCTCACCCCCCACCCTCCCTCCCCCCACCCCACCCACCCCGCCTCACACGCAAACACATAAATTGAATCAGATGCCGCGTTCCGTCGCCCAAAAAAAATGGGACAGGCTGACAAAGGCTGGAGAAAAAAAAAAAAAAAACAAGTATAGAGAGCAAGGAGGAGGAGGAGGCGCCAGAATTCAATAAATTTCCGCGGGAGACAAAAGAAGTGAGGGTGGGCGTGAATGACGTTTTTTTTTTTTCTTCTTTTTTTTGGGGGGGTGGGTGAGGTGGGGGGAGGTTGGAGGGGGGGTTCTCTAAACAATCAAAGATCTATTTGTGGTTTATGGCGATATTTTGTAATGGCTAAAAGCGAGACGACCGACCCAAAAATATTTACCCTTTTTTTTTCTTAGTAACTTGTAAACCTATATTTGTTGTTACCTCACTCTAAATAAAGGAGAATGTATAAAGTAATCGAATTCATACGGTAAACAGCTGTTAAATCTAAACACGTCGAAACACGAACATTCATGCACGTACTCTGTCACATCTCCATCTCCATCTCAATTTCTATATCTTCATCGCTCTCTCTCTCTCTCCATCTCCATCTCTATTTCTATAACTCCATCACTTTCTCCATCGCGATCGCTATCGCCATCTCTCCATCTCCATCTCTATTATATCCATCGCTATTTTTATCTCTATTTCCACTTCAATCGCTGTCATTATTTCTATTTATATGTCAATCGCTATCTCTGTCTCCACCTCCACCTCTACCTCTATCTCCATCTCCATCCCTATCTCTATCTCTCCATCACTATCCCTATCTATCTCTATCCCTATCTCCTTCTCTATCCCTCTATCTCTATCTCTCCATAACTATCCATTTCTCCATCTCTATCCTTCTACCTCTATCTCTCTATCACTATCCCCTATCTATCTCTATCCCTATCTCCTTCTCTATCCCTCTATCTCTCTCTCCATGACTATCCATTCTCCTTCTCTATCTTTCCATCACTATCCCTATCTATCTCTATCTCCTTCTCCATCTCTATCCCTCTATCCCCTCCTCCATTTCCTCCCTCCATCTCTATCTCTCTCCCCCATCCCTACCCCTATCTCCGCCTCCAGAAGGACCCCCAGGCCCTGCAACGCCCTCGCAACATCCCCGCACAGCTCCCCGCGCCCTCAGACGTGCCCCTGAGTCCAGCTAACAACGGCGTCTGTTTACCCACGACTCGGCGCCGTCCCGTGTGTAACCGCTGTCAGGATAGAAACAATAGGCCCTTCTTCTGCCTTTATTTTTACCTTTTTTTTTTGGTTGTTTTTTTTTTGTTTTGTTTTTTGTTTGTTTCTTCTTTTCTATGCTTGTTTTTTATTTTTTGTATTTTTTTATTTTGTTTTGTTTTTTTTTTTTATGTTTCTTTTTCTTGTTTTCTATGCTTATTTTTTGTTTTTTTTTTCTTTTTCCTTTTTGTTTTTTTGTTTTTTTCTTTTTCTTGTTTTCTATGCTTTTTATTCTTTTTTTTTTTTCTTTTTGTTTGTTTTGTTTTGTTTCTTTTTCTTCTTTTCTATGCTTGTTTCTTTTCATTTCTTTTTTCTTTCTTTTCTTGTTTCTTTTTTTCTTCTTGTTCTTTTCTCTTTCCTTGTTTTCTTTTCTTGTTTCTTTATTTCCTATTATTTTTTATTTTCTTGTTTCTTTTGTTAGTTCTTTTCATGTAGTTTTTTTCCTCTTTTCTTGCTCTTTCCCTCATTTTCTTTTACTTAAAGGAAGGGGTGGCCATTTTATTTCCATCTTGCTAGACAATTCAAAAATGGTATTGCTTATAAATTAACATTCGAACTGAATGATCGATATATTTCCGAAGAAAACAACGACGACGAGGGACTTCTAACACGTCAACAAACAAACAAACAAACACATCAAACAACCCTTAAAATCTACAACTTATCTTACTCTGGTCGACGTCGCAACAAACAAACAAACAAACAAAACAAATAAATCAAACAATCCTTAAAATCTACAACTTATCTTACTCTGGTCGACGTCGCAACAAATAAACAAACAAACAATACAACAAACAAACCCTTAAAATCTACAACTTATCTTACTCTGGTCGACGTCGCAACAAATAAACAAACAAACAAATACATCAAACAAGACTTAAAATCTACGACTTATCTTACTCTGGTCGACGTCGCAACAAACAAACAAACAAACAACATAAACAACAACAAATAACAAGAATCTACTTATCTACTTTACTCTGGTCGACGTCGCAACAAACAAACAAACAAACAAATACAAAAACAACCCTTAAAATCTACGACTTATCTTACTCTGGTCGACGTCGCTTATCTTACTCTGGTCGACGTCGCACTCAAAGGTATTCCGACTCACCTGTGGAGGAAAAAAAAAAAAGGTTAATACATTGATTTAAAACAATAACGATCAACATATACATAAAATGTTTTGTTCTCTATTTAACATATAGATAAAATGTTTCCTTCTCTATTTAAAATAACATATAAAATGTTTCCTTCTCTATAACATATACATAAAATGTTTTGTTCTCTATTTAACATATAGATAAAATGTTTCCTTCTCTATCTAAGATATACGCAAAATGTTTTGTTCTCTATTTAACATATAGATAAAATGTTTTGTTCTCTATTTAACATATACATAAAATGTTTCCTTCTCTATTCAACATATAGATAAAATGTTTCCTTCTCTATCTAAGATATAGACAAAATGTTTTGTTCTCTATTTAACATATAGACAAGATTTCCTTCTCTATTTAACATATAGACAAAATGTTTTGTTCTCTATTTAATATATAGATAAATATGTTTTCCTCTCTCTCTAACATATAGATAAATTGTCTCCTTCTCTATTCAATATATATATAGATAACTTTGTTCTCTAGTTAAAATATACGCTTTTTATTAACTAATATTTGAGGGTAATATATATTTTGTTTTCAACTGACTTATCTAGTAATCTGATATATCTGTTATTTATAGTAATACAAGATTTCTCATTCATCTCAATATTTACACTATAAAATCATATCATATCATATCAAAGGCGTTTAAAGAACAGACGCAGGAAAAAAAATATTATTCAGTATGACATATATCGCTGAATTCAATATTTTCCTCCGCGTGTTTATCATTAGCATTTTAAGCTTCGATAATTCCGGCAAGAATGATGAAAGAAATAGTCGAAGAGAATAAAAAAAGGCACCTGGTATTTCTTCATTAAATAATCTCTCTAAATAATCTTCATTCCAATTCAAAATCAATATTCAGATAAACCCAGATCACAAAATGACCATACATCAAAACAGCAAAATATTCAATCAAAACGAAAATAAGAAACAAATCAAACCAAACAAACAAAAAAATTGAATAAAAAAATCGATTAAAAAAATCTAAATATTCAACACGGCAAAAAAAAGTGTTTCCGAAACGCCGCCTTACGTACATCAACATGTACATCTCGAACGTACAAAGGATTAAAAAAAAAACATATGAATCGCACGCCCTCATTTCCCTTTCAAATGAGGGTGGCAGCCGCTCCATCAGTCATGGGCGCTTCTTTCCGCCGCCCATGGCCCGGTCTCGCGTCCCGATGGGCGTGCCGACCATCACGAATCGGAGCTGATGAAAACCATTCGGCAAAGAGGCTAAAAAGTCCCCTTAAGATGTCAGCGAGAGACTAACAGCACTGCGTACGTACACATGGACGTATACATATAATGCCAGACATACATACGCACAGACGCATACCTGAACAAGCGGCCATGTACAAACGCATGCACACACACAAGCGCATTTAAATTCATGTTCGTGGACACGCAAAAAAAGAAAAAAAGAAAAAATAATAATTCCTTTAAAGTAAAAACGTGCGTGTGGAAGGAGGGTTGTCTCAAAAACAAAAACAAAAAACATGTATGTGTCTTGTACGTGAATGATTAAGTTGAAGAGATATATTCAAATATTTTTTACGTCTTTTCCATTTGTTTCTACATATCTATTCTTAGTAAAAACCTACACATACGTAAACATTCTGTCTCTGTCTCTGTCTCTATTTCAAAACCCCCAACACACAAACATACAAAAAACAATCAAGATAAACCCAAACAAACCAAAAACACACATAAACAAACAAACAAACCCAAACGCCGCACACTTACAACCGAGCCACCACTCTAAGACAGACAAACAAACACGAGGACTGTTTGTGGGAAATTCCGACACTCGAGCTCACTCACACAGGGGCCGCCTGGGAACCACTTCGATAGGTCTCCCAGTGGCTGCGCTGTGCCGCCTACACACCCCGTGTTAACAGTGGCCCCGACAGTGTCAATAACGGCCTGGTGTTGTTAAGAGTGGCGCCTAGGTTAACATTGTTAATAATGGCCTGTAATGGCCCTGGTGTTGTTAACAGTGGCCCGGATTGTTAATAATGGCCTGTAATGGCCTGGTGTTGTTAACAGTGACTCAGAACTGTTAATAATGGCCCTGGTGTTGTTAACAGTGACTCAGAACTGTTAATAATGGCCTGGTGTTGTTAACAGTGACTCAGAACTGTTAATAACGGCCTGGTGTTGTTAACAGTGACCCAGAACTGTTAATAATGGCCTGGTGTTGTTAACAGTGGCCCAGGACTGTTAATAATGACCTGTAATGGCCTGGTGTTGTTAACAGTGGTCTAGGATTGTCAAAATGGCCTGGTGTTGTAACAGGGCCTAGGATTGTTAATAATTGCCTGGTGTTGTTAACAGTGGCCCTGGACTGTTAATAATGGCCTTGGTATTGTTAAGAGCGGCCCAGAAGTGAAGAGAGGGAAGGGAAAGGAGGGAAAGGAAAGGGGAGAGAAAAGTAGGAAGGGAGGAAGGAAGAAGGAGAGGATGAAAAGGAAGAGGGAGATAGAGAGGAAGCTAAGCAGTAATAAAGAGAAGCCCGAGGGAGAGGGAGAAGGAAAGAAAGAGGGAGGGAGATGTCGAGAAAGAGTCAGGTGGGAAGGGCGAGAGACAGAGAAAGAGCAAATGAGAAAAAAGTGAGAGACAGACACAGAGAAGAAGGAAAAAGAACGCGATTTTGTTTACGCGAGCGCTCCGTCTTATGAATGAATAAAACCCTACGCCGCGTACTACAAATAAGGCCAAGCGAAGTGATAAATCATTTTATTCACTTTTAGGCCCCGCCCACCTGAGCCGTCTCCCGTGTCAAGCTGTCAACCACTGACTTGACCGGACCCCTATCCCCACTCTCCTACTACCCCCTTTCCAACCCCCCCAAACCCTTACCCCCCGCTAAGGCCCATGTCTCCTTCCTCCCCCTCCCCCCCCTTTCACCTCATCCCAAGTCCCTCTCCTTCCTCCCCCTCCCCCTCACCTCATCCCAAGTCCCCCTCCCCCCTTCCCCTTCGCCCCTTCCACATCCCCTCCTCCCTCCTACCCCCTCCATCTCACCCTATGTCTCCCTCCCCCTCTCCTTTTACCTTCCCTTCCTCCTCTCTCCCTTCCCCCTTTACCTCGCCCTCCCTCTCCCTCCCCCCCTTCCCCTCCTTCCCCCCAACACCCCCCAACTCTCACCACTTCCCTCAAACACTCCGCACTTTCAGCGATAACACAAAAGGTGCTCTTGACAGATAACACGCGTCGGCCGTCCCTTACGATTCGACTCACGCGGCCCGGGTACAGATGCCGAAGACGGGGCTTTTAAAGATACACTGAGTAGCGCTAAAATGGCGAAGATACGCGCGAGGAACAGGTCTTGAACGGACAGGCTGGAATACATACATATTTACAAACAGTACATATATACATACATACATGCAAGCGCGTACATGCATACGTGCAGTACATACAATACATACATACGGTGACAGTACATACATACTATATACATGCATACAACCATACATACACACAACACACATACAACACACAAACAAAGAAAACCACATTTCCAACACATATCTACTGAACGCAGTATTACACATTTCCAAACACACAGACAGCTTGAGCAAACAAGGCAAACATTAACAAAAAAAAAAAAATACATACAACACCTATACACACGCTTCTACACACACACAATTACAAAAAAAAAAAAAAAACGAACAACCCCCTTTTAAATAAGAAAAAATATATAGTTACCCTTGTACTACCCTCCACCCCCTCCCTCCACCAATCCGTGTTCACCTCATACCACCCACACCTCCCAACCTTCTCTCCATCATCCAATCCCCCACCAATTCGTTTCTCCTTCACTCCTCCGCTAACCTACCCTACCGTCTCCTCTCACCCTAAACCCTACCCACTCCTACCCCATGACCCCACCCCCATCCACCTCCTCCATCAACCCGATTGATGCTCACTCTCCTCCCTTCCATTCCTCCCCCATTTCTCCCCCTTCGCCTCCCGGGGCCTGCTTGTCTCCCACCACAAAAGGCGTGGGCCAGCAGGAGACGCCTCATTACCATAGTGTGGGTATACCGAAGGGTTCCTCAGCTTCTTCTAAGACGGGATAGGATGCCCGGCGAAGGATAGGGGCCGTTGAGAACCTCCGTGTGTCCCGTATATACGTATGTACATATACAGAGAGAGATAGAAAAAAAATTGATAGACAGAGATAGATAGATAGCTCTCGTGTGAGGTTGCAGAATGGGATATTGCACAGGAAAGATTTATTCACAAAAAAGACAAAATATATATATAATAATTCACAGTCGAAGGACGACTTATTTACAACAAATTCGAGTTTGAGTTTTAAAAAACATGGTTATTCTTATATCGAACAATAATTTCCAAAAAATTAATAGTTTGAGTTTAAAAGGTAGCGATAAATCCTTCTAATGGTGACATAAGCGAACGACACGCCTTCAGAAGTACGAAAACCACAGAGACAAATATCCATTTATCCCAAGGCGACGTCAAATACCCAGACATCCGACGAGGCAAATACCATTTATCCCAAGGCGAGAGACAAATACCCCAGATATCAAACGTGATAAATACTCAGATATCCGACCGAGGCAAATATCCATTTATCCCAAGGCGAGAGACAAATACCCAGATATCCAAACGTGATAAATATCCAGTTATCCCAACGAGATAAATACCCAGATATCCGAACGTTACAAATATCCATTTATCCCAAGGCGAGAGACAAATACCCAGATATCCAAACGTGATAAATACCCAGTTATCCCAACCAGAACATCCGACCGAGGCAAATACCCATTTATCCCAGGGCGAGAGACAAATACCCAGATATCCAAACGAGAGAAATACCCAGTTATCCCAACGAGACAAATACCCAGATATCCAAACGTGATAAATACCCAGATATCCGATCGAGGCAAATACCCCGAACGAGCAAATA